CAACAAAAACAGGACCTCCGGTCTTCTAGGGAAAACCATCTTTACTTTCTGAGTTTGTCAACCATTTATGTTTTCTTTTTCCGAGCAAACAGCAGAACCGCTGCCTTTTCATTAAGAGAAAAAAACAAAGAAGTTTACCATTTATGTGACTAACCAGATCTCTTCCTCTGATTCCGTGTCTAACGTATTTCGTAGACAAGAATGCTCCACATACAAGAACACCATATGAATGCTCTAATCGAAAAGAAAAGGTAGATGAATGTTCTGAAACTTCTTGTCTTGTGCATGTCCTGGAGTAGAAGTATGGGCCTTATTCAAGATTCTGCCTAAATCCACCTGAATACAGAGATAGCAAATTGCAAATTTTGGTGGAATGTGCCTGTTGGCTAACTGGCTCAAAAGCACATTGAAGTTGACCAGCTCAAGCAACTGAGATATCAAACCAAATGAATAACTAAGATAATAACAGAGAGGAGGTTGTGTGATTTACCTGATTATCACGACATGACTGAAGCCCATCCATATCACTACTTGATATGAAGTTGCCCACACCATCGCGGTCCTTCTTGTACATGAAGAAGTGCTTATTCTGCCATGCTAAAAAAATGAGAAGGATTTTCAGTTTTTTACACAACTAACCAGAAATACTGCAGATTATTCAGTGGAACCCAAGAAACCAGCGATCAATGACAAAGGTGGTAAGCATGTTATTTGGGAGTTTGCAGAATCTGCAGGTGGACACCTCGACAAGTGGTCATAAACTCAGTAATGTCTGAGGCTCACACTGTTAGAGTTATAATATAAGTCATGTACCCCTTTGTATTTATTCCGTTGTATAAGGGGTTTCCTGCATATGTTCAACACATGTACATGTATATATATCGGCCTATGGCCTCATGGGAATACAAGTTGCTTATTCCTAACATGGTATTAGAGCTAGGTCAATTTTTTGCACGCTGCAACTCGTGCTATTGATCTGTCTCTCCTTCCCGATCGAAGCGGCTTCGATCTCCCGAGTCCCCCGATCGGATCGATCTCGTCCGGCTCGTCTTGCTCCCGCTTGAAGCTCCCGTCCTCGATCTCCCGATCGGATCGTAGATCCAGCCGGCCTCGCTCCCCAGCCGGCCCGATCGCTCGCTCCCCAGTTGGCCCGGTCGCTCGTTCCCCAGCCGGCCCGATCGCTCGCTCCCCAGCCGGCCTTGCTCCCCAGCCGGTTCCGCTCACAGAGGCCCCGTCCTCGATCTCCTGACCGGATCGAAGATCCAGCCGATCGCTAGCTCCCCAGCCGGCCCGATCGCTCGCTCCCCAGTCGGTCCCGCTCCCCAGCCGGCCTCGTCTCCCGATTGGAAGCTCTCTCGTCAGATTCTGTAAAAAAATGTCTGCTGCATCGGGCTATGTTGTTGTCCCTCGCTCACCGGTGATCTTTGATGGTACTAACTACACCGAGTTCACTGGCTTAATGCGCATTCACATGTGTGGCATCCGTTTCTGGGGTGTTCTTTCTGGCGAGGTCTGCTGTCCGCCACGTCCGGTTCCTCCGGTTGCCCCTACTACGCTGACTCCACTGGTTCTTCCTATGGATGCTAATCAGGCCGCCAAGGATGCGGCTAAGCTTGCTGATGAGGCTACTGATCGTGCTTATGATGAGAGGGTTTTGGCTTATGAGGAGGCTCTTCAGACGTATCATGGTGCTCTGTCTGTTTACACCTAGTGGCTTGATGATGATGCTCGTGCTGCAGCTGTTCTCACTGCTAGTATTCTGCCTCAGTTTGCTTCTGAGTTTCTGGGTCTTCCTACTGTCTTTGAGATGTGGACGTGTCTTCGTCAGCGCTATGAGCCCTTTGGTGATGCCTTATACCTTTCTGTGGTCCGTCAGGAGCATGCTCTTCAGTAGGGTGACTCTACTGTTGATGACTTCTATGCACAGAGTTCTGCTATCTGGCGCCAGCTTGATTCTCTCCGCAGTGCTGGTTGTCGTACTTGCCCCTGTTGCCAGGCTGTCCAGGCCAATTTGGAGTTTCATCGCGTCTACGAGTTCCTGTCTCGGCTCCGTAAGGAGTTTGAGCCCCGGCGTGCTCAGTTGTTTGCTCGTGGCCGTATTTCTCTCATGGAGGCGCTTTCAGAGATTCATGCTGAGGAGACTCGCTTACGTGGTGCTGGTTTGCTGGAGGTTCCCTCTGTGCTTGCTACTCGGGCTTCTTCCACTCCACCTGATGCACCGACCCCTTCTCGCTCGAGTGCTCCGCCGCTCTTGCCCACTCCTTCTGGAGGTTCAGGTCGCCCCCGTCCACATTGTGACTACTGCAACAATGATGGTCATATTGACTCCCAGTGCTACATGAAGCGAAAACACCTGCGCAAGGCGCGATCATCATCTTCAGGGACTTCGTCATCTCCCTCGACAGCTTCAGCCATTGCTTTGACTGAGCAGGACATTCTGAGACTTAAGCGTCTGCTCGCGGCTTCAGGTTCTTCCTCAACGGGTACTGCTGGTTCTGTGACTGATGCTTCCCGCACTGAGCAATCGCCCTCTCCACAGTCAGGTACATCCCCATGGGTTCTGGACTCTGGAGCTTCTTTTCATATGTCTTCTCATTCTTCCACTTTGTCCTCTCTTCGATCGCTGGATTCTCCTGTTCATGTATTCACTGCTGATGGTACTCCACTTTCTATTGCGAGTAGAGGCAATCTTTTCACTCCTTCTTATTCTGTTCCTGATGTTGCTCATGTTCCTCGACTTACCATGAATCTGTTTTCTGCTGGTCAACTTACTAATTCTGGTTGTCGCGTCATCCTTGATGTTGACTCTTGTTCTGTCCAGGACCGTCGCACGCACACTCTGGTTGGGGTTGGCCCTCGCCGCCATGATTCTCAGGGTCTTTGGGAGTTGGACTGGCTTCATGTTCCTTCCGCTGCCACCACCATCGCTAGTTCCTCCGCTTCTGTCGCCTCCGTTACTGGTTCCTTCAAGCAGTGGCATCATCGACTTGGTCATCTGTATGGTTCTCGGTTGTCTTCTTTAGTTTGTCGAGGTCTTCTGGGGTCTGTCTCAGAGATGTCTCTTTAGAGTGGCAGGGTTGTCGTCTTGGCAAGTAGATTCAGTTACCATATTCACATAGTGAGTCAGTGTCTAAGCGTCCTTTCGATTTAGTTCATTTTGATGTATGGGGTCCGGCTCCTTTCGCTTCGAAAGGTGGTCATAAATACTATATTATTTTCATAGATGATTTCTCTTGTTACACCTGGCTTTATTTCATGACTATTCGTACTGAGGTGTTGTCTATTTATAAGCGTTTTGCTGCCATAGTTCATACTCAGTTCTCTTCACCCATTCATGTTTTTCGTGCTGACTCCGCTGGCGGGTATATCTCTAAGATGTTGCGTGGTGTTCTTGCTGAGCAAGGAACTCTCTCTCAATTCTCTTGTCCTGGTGCTCATGCTCAGAATGGTGTGGCTGAGCGAAAGCATCGACATCTTCTTGAGACGGCTCGTGCATTGATGATTGCTGCCTCTCTCCCGCCTTATTTTTGGGTTGAGGCCGTGTCCACCTCCACCTATCTTATCAATATACAGCCTTCCGCTACTCTACAGGGTGGTGTTCCTTTCGAGCGTCTTTTTGATCGTTCTCCCGATTATTCGATGCTTCGCTTGTTTGGTTGTGTTTGCTATGCTTCTTGCCCCTCGCGAACGCACCAAACTGACCGCTCAATCTGTTGAGTGTGTTTTCTTAGGCTACAGTGATGAGCATAAGGGCTATCGTTGTTGGGATCCTATCGGTCGTCGGCTGCATATCTCTCAAGACGTGACTTTTGATGAGTCTCGTCCCTTCTACCCACGCCCATCTTCCTCGACTTTTTCAGTGGAGGATATCTCTTTCTTCACTTCTCCTTACTCACCTATCACCCCCGTCGCGCCTATCACTACTAGGGAAAAGCCTAGCAGCAGCGCGGGTTTTGGGCCTATTAGTA